AAACATGTGAATCAAGGATTTTCAGACTTATACTTTATTCTAAATACAGAAATGTTTGAATATTCTTTTTTCCTATGAATGTTTTAAAAAAAAAGTAAATAATTTTTGCAATGTGTTAGGTGGGAATTTAACTCATATCCTGTGGGTGACAGCAACTCCAAAGGCCTAGTCTTAACCACTAGGCTATATGGTATTTTTATGATAATGGGACAAAATTTAAAAATATAAATATATTTCGCTGCTCACATGAATTAATTTATAATATTAATTTCTTGGTGGCTGACAATAGAGGCTGAAAATCTGGCAACTCTGGTGCCCCAAAGGGGAGGGGTGTCCCTTATATCTAGTCTGGCAGAGCCCTTCACTTCTTCATGCTGCTGCTGCTGCTATTGATGATGATCAAGAATCATGGACTGTTTCAAAAAGCAGCACAATGCTTTTGATGTGTAATCTCAGCATGTTAATTAACCTCCGGTCATATATCTCTTTGAAACTCTGGAAAGAATATGTTTCCTGTGGGAATTGAACCCACAACTCTTATTTCAATGTCAAGAGTACTAACCACTGTACTAACACCCCGGACATTTCAATGTTGCTGCGGCCCACAGTGTTACCTGCCAAATCAGTCCGCAGTTCACCCGCAACATGAGCCTGTCAACTCCGTAACTCCACAGCAACACTTGCTGTTTTGATTCAACAGTAGCCAGCTTCCCTGCATGCAACACCCAGCCAGACCAAAATTTCCGTGCCCCATACCTTTTGACTCATCAAAAACAGCGACAGACGCAACAGAACAAACTACTTGGACAAAAAACATGCTCACACCATGTCTATTGTCCCTCCAGCCAACATGAAGTTTTGCACCTGCTCTCGATGTGCAGCTTCCACCTCAAGTAATCCGCAACAACCAATTTCAGGGAAGTACATATCCGCCCAAAACTTTGACAAACACCGAGTCAAAAAAACAAAAACAAATTCTTCAAGCCAAAGCCAACAATGCCCATCGCATCAGCAATTCATCTTCCGAGAAATCCCATGAACCATCCTTGGAATCTGACAGCACTTAGTATTCTGAACATAGCTCTGCGTTTTGTGGATTTGATGAAAATGAAGGCAGTTTCCATCTCGGTGAGTTTTCCATCAACAAAAGTGGTTTGGATTGAATAATGAACTGTGCTTTCTCTTATTTAATAGTTTATATAGTCATGTTTGTTAGTTGGCTCCACATATTCTGTAATGTTAGCCGTGAAAATTGCAAGACAGCAATAAACACCCTTTTCAACATTATAAAGGCAATTCTTAGACAATCATCATCCAACCAACTGATCTTGAAGATGCCACGCAATCCCCAGACTTTGCTTTCAAGAGTCGATGTGGACTCCAACCTAACTCAAACTATATGCTGTCAAGCATTTTTTAAACTCTACCCAGATGTTCGCAAGGTGCCAATGTTCTGAACATACCAAGCCTTCAAATTAACACAGTTATGCAACAAAGCACTCTTTATACAGAAGAAGACTCATGGAGGCATTAAAGATTTTGGTCTCTTTTTGGAGAAAAGCTCGAAAATCATGCCGATAAATTACTGCGTATCCCAATGCCTCTTATTTTCTCAATCAATATCAAACTGGCTGAAATGGTTGTTCTCAATTCCCAACATTGAAAGAACAATGGAAATGTGGGCACATGAAATAAACAAAATCCGACAATATTCTCCTTGATGTACAAAACAGCAGGAATTATCAAAACCTATCCACAGGCATTCATCTCCAAGTGTCCTTACACCCCGGACATTTCAATGTTGCTGCGGCCCGCAGTGTCACCTGTATGATTCAGCCCCGCATTCAATTCATTGCATCATCATCTGCAGAGACAATTGACATTTGGATTTGACATTAGGCATACAAAAGGAACATAGTTCCTGATAGGCATCAATAAAGTATCTCAATCATGCTGCTCCATCATTGTAATACCTACTACTTATATGTCACAGTTTGCTTGAGACAGGTTGAGATTAATCTCATTGCCACAAGACTCCGGCAGCATTTAAATCCGCACCTCCTCCCCCCATTCTGACCCAGTTCTGAACCCATGGGAAACCTCACACTCCACCTGGTCTCATCCGCCCCATAACCAGCAAGACATAGTTCCTGCAGCTGTCCAAGCGTGAACTGATTGCCTTGAGTCCATGATCTCAATCCTTGCCAATGAGATCCGCTCCTTAAAAGCATCCCCCCTTCAATCACCTTGGAAACCAATACCCAGGGATCTACAACCAATTCCAACATTCAAAAAAAAATCAGCCAAAAACCCCGGTTGTGGCCAAAAGTCCACCCCAGCACCAGAACCCTCATTGCCTACACCAAAAGTAACCCCCAGGAAATCAGTCGTTTCAAGCACAGCTCCTCCTGAGCTAAGCCGAAGCCATGCAACCTGAAGTCTGTCGCTGTGGAAAGAAAAACCGTCTCAGTAGGTAACTGAGTGTCCTTCTCCAATGTGTGTTGGATACCCTTTGGTTTCACTGCGGAAAACTACTAGATTGGTGAGTATCTTTCTCAATCCCCAATGAAAAACACTCCCTTGTTACCGCTCTTTGCACACTGCAACCCGGAAAGAGACTGTG